TGTCCTGGTTCAGTTTTGACACAATTGTGTCAGCAGGGTGGGAAACAATTGCACAGAAAACGCCGGCAATGTAGCCAGCAGTGAAAGTGACTGCCAGTTGTTCCTCCTTTGTGCACTGCTCTCTAGGTTTTGGTACTACGTGCTGGTACAAAGCTTCCAATGTCCTCTCAAAGCAAGCAAACTGTAGAAGCATGAAGTTTATGGCAGAATTAGTGTTACATGCAATGCCAAGAGATGCTGAGATTTTAACCTGCCAGTTTCAAGAATCAAGCCAACCTCATTTACTTGAGTACCACGCTATTTAATTCTCAAAATTAAGAGGGAGAAAAGGGAATGCGCGCATCATGAGTAGGTATGCATTTTTCGATAAGTTTGGGTATGCATTACTTTTGATTCTAAAGGAAAATTTTGGATCAGTTTTATCAGAAACCATCCTTGTCATAGAAATGACTAAAAATTAGATGAATTCAGGACCAATTCGTGTCTGAATTCAAATTTTGGTGTTCTTGAATTTTAATACTGTACTGTATATCAGTTGTAGAGTGACAAAGAATGGGAGAAAAATGGGATGCAGGTCTTACTCAGAGATACAAGTTTATGAGAATTTTTGACTGAGAATTAATGATGTGTGTCTTATTTGAGTGGGCGCTTTTACTTCAATAAGTACAGTAATCCTCTTGACGCAATGTACTTGGACAAATGTTATTTTCATAATTTTTTACTTCAGTTAAGATCACCCAGCTCAAATTTTGGACACTGCGCTGAGTTTGATGTCTTAGCCTTAGGGGCTCCATTCATTTGTTGCTCTTTTTTGTGATTTTTTGTACTCACCTTCATCATTGTGTAAGGAATTTGTCTGCCCCACAAGGGTGCCAAACCCTTGTAAAACCCTCCAATGCCTTCTTGTTTCGATATAATTGATGCAGCTTTTGTCATTGACGATGTAAATCCTGGTGCAGTCTGAATTCTGACCTGGAATGGGATCAATAAACGTTAGAACTGAGGCTTTAGTTATTACGTAATTGCTATTGACGGTTACCTTCATAGCCTCAAAAGGAGCAAGGCCAACATCCGCAAAGAATTCTGCTGATGCCGAGGCTGCCAAATACAAAGAGGTCCTGTACATGTACGAGTATTCTTCCCCCAGCATTCCACTGTAAAGTACTTTGAAAACTTCGTAGAGCCCAAATTTTCCTAGGCCTTGCACCGAGTATCCACAGAAGGTTGGCAGCCATCCTCTTGTCAAACCTGTTGATCATTTGTGTATGCTTTATGTGATCGCTGTGGCTATGGAAGAATTAGTATCAGTGAGAACCTATCATGCCATCCTCCTTCACGGAGATCTTGAAGCCGTTGACAATGTTTTTGTAGTGGTCAGGGTTGACCTGTAGCCGGCATTTTACCAAATCAAGGGGTACAACAGCTGTGTGAGTTGTGCCACAACTCAGGATTCCACCAAGACCGCAGTACAAAAAGTACTTGCTTGATCCATACTCAATCCCTGAAATAAAGGCACATGATGGATTTTTATGTTGAGCAAACTGTATTCTTCTCTAGATAATGCAGAAATCGAAGTTTGGGACTCGAGATATGGTGAAAAGGAGTCTACAAACTTTTTTTGCTTAATCTTGGAAGGGGTTCTTACCGCCATCGCTGCCCTTTGGGCAGCTGCTGTTAGCCTGCTGACACTTGGCAGTCTTGATTGGAGAAATGAAAGTTGCTAAAGCGCTGTTGTTGTTCCACATCTTTGAGCGAATTCAGTTATATTTTTTATAGTCAACAAGGTTGAAAGAAGAGGGAAGGATACCAATAAAAATAATGAGTAGATCCTGCGAAAAAACTAAACACATGGACTGCGTTAGGTTTGTATACTCATAAACTGATCCGTTGAAACTGTCCTGTATTGCCATGGTTAATGCAAAAAAAGAAAGAAAAAAACACGAGCATGTGATATCGATTTAGTAGTTTTTTAATCTGTCTTCTTTTTACAGATTTACTCACAGTTGTGACTGATACATCCTTGTCCACCTACTTTTTTGTATTCTGGATTAAATTTTCATCCCTTGAAAATGCATAAGTAGCTTTCTTTCCAACGTTGCAAATTGCTTAAATTAAACTTGCCTTGTCAAGCTGCATGATTTGAATTCATTCAAATACGAGGGACAGTACTCATATAGAACTTCCTATTGAGGAAATTTTATTTTTTCTGAAGCAGAGTTGGCTTAGCAATCATAAGTTTATGATCGTAAATGATACAGGTCCATTTCTCGAGCAACTTGCGACCGACGGAAGTTCTGGTATGCTCGAATTTCATCAGAATATTTGACACACTTATCACAAATTGCGATTGAACCTGTCAAAGTCTAACTTCGACGGACCAGCGGAAAAAGATCGAGTTAGAGAAACAAGAATTTATTATTGGAAAAAGGAAGAATTACAGAAAATTGTTGATAATCTAGGCTTTAAATTTAAATCACCAGTTGACAGGATGCTGAAACTTGGGGGGAGGTTTTATTTGCACAATATTAGGCTTTCTTTTCCTTTCCAAACGCATCGTTTCGTTTATACAGCTTTTATCTTTCCCGTGTCAGTAAAAAAAAGTAGCCACAGACCTCCATAAAATCGGAGTAATAGAAGTTTGAGGGATAGAGCCTTCCAGTTCGGGAGATTTTTAGTATGTTGTTTCTAAATGGATTCTGACAGCTGGTACTTGAAAAAAATCGAAATAGGTGCTAGGGATTTACTTGGGATCGTTCGTCCAAATCAATAACTTCTTACTGAAGTTTAATCGTATGCGGAAAATCCAACACACTGAAGCTGATCATTTGCACTGCATTTTTGATTCGTGTTAGTCTTAGCCGTTCTGCCA